TTAATCGGTTCCTTTGTGGATCCGGAAACCGGAAGGTCCCTGTACCAAAAAAAAAATAATAATAACTAATTTTTCTTAGGCTGCTACAGTAGAACCATTTGATTTTGATACAAAACCAACACAATCATTTCATAATATTAGTAATCTCCTCAAACACTTGTTTATAAATTGTTATTGAGTTTTAACTACCAATTAAATCAGTTAATATAATATAACAACAGTGTACTCTGTTGGAAAAATCAGTTGTAAAACTTGGGTTTGACCCGGTTTTGACTGAATTTTTGATGGCTAAATATTTAATTTTTGACCCGGGACTTGGGACTTGGGACTTGGGCTTTGGTCCTTGGTTCTTGGCAATTGGACTTTGGGCTGGACTTGGGCGGCCTTGGGCGGTTGGGCTTGGGCCTTGGGCCCAATCACTATATATCTTTTTGCTGCAAATTTATTTGCAATTTTAGGCCCAACTGGAAAATCTAATTTGGATTTGGACTCGGGTTTTGACCCAACCCGAGTGAGACCTCTCCAGGTACAACGAACCTGGACACCTGACTCTTCATGTGAAGTAACAGCTCAGGTTAATGGTGATAATGGGGTTAATGGAGTTAACTCCTCCAGGTTAATGGTGTTTTAACACCTGAAACGTTTTACAATTATGGTGCCATTTATCTCAGCCTTAAGTGGCTGGTGTAACCCTTGGTTCTCCCTCAGAGGTGGAAGTCCTATAAATAGGACATTGAGTTGCAGAGAAGACATACATCATTTCATGCAATCTGATACTCTCAAAAGCCTCACGCATCATATCATAGTTCTCGGTTCTCGACTTCATTCTTGTTCGACTGGACTCTGAAGGCTGGTGTGCTACAGCTTCCGAGTGTTAAAGCCGTTGTATCTTTGGGGACATTACGCACTGACCCGTCAGCACTACACGGGGCGTATTTGTCTTGCGGATAGATTTCAATCGCCTCGGCTCAAATCTCTCCGCGTTCAAGTTGTAATTTCATTTTTTGTTTTTAGTTCTTTTGTACGAACTGAACACTTCAGTCAGTTCATAGGTTCCCGTTGTAATACAAAACACACATTGTGTAACAAAAAATGCGTATTTATATTATGAAATGTCAAAAAATAAGCAAACGAATATACACGCGTATATAAATAAATACAATCTTTTGTGTGCACCGTTAGACTGATCCGCCCATTATATATTTATAATAAATACATACTTACATTATAAATATCAATATTCATTTATACCGATATTTACAACTTGATATTTTTAATTAAAAAATATGAAGATATGTAATAAAATAAGTCACTAACCAATAGGGGTTGACTCAAGTGGTAAGCAGTTTGATGTCGCTTAAGCAAGGTTAAACAAGGTCTCGAGTTCGAGTCCTTGTGGATGCAGAAAACCCTTGTTGGGAGACTCACCCGCCACGTGTGATGTGCTTTTGCACACTGGACCGGCTTTCCTTGAACCCAACCGCTTGAGCCCTCCAAAACCTGCAAAGACGCCGGGAAGTTTTCCCGGCGGTAAACCTTCGACGCTCAAGTTAGTAGGGTATCGAGGAAAGTTCAGTCGGTTTTGTGAGGTAAAGAAACTTAGGGCTTGATTGTTTATGAGTTAATTTACTAACTTTTATTTCAACTCAAAATTTAACTCAACTTTAACTCAATCCCACTATCTTTAATATTATTCATATAATTAAATAATACAAACTAATCATTCTTACACATCACATCAACTTTAATTCACTATTCATCCACTCACATAATTTTAACTACCTATCATTTCCAATCATTTATCTCTTACTTTTACATCAAATCAATTTTAATCATTTTATTTTAAATATTATTTTAATACATTCTTAAAGTTCCACTAACAACTAACCATACCACATTTTTCAAATTAACTATGGTTAACCAAAATAACTCATTTTGAACAAATTATTTCATAAACAATCAAGCCCTTAGCCCTCTCATCATACATGCTTTACCTATTTATATGCAAGTCCTTAACTTCTTCTTCACGCTTACTCCTTTATCCGCTGATATGATAACTACCCAGCCCATTTAAGTGTTAGCCCACTTCTTCAACCTACCTGACCCATTCACCTGGCCGACTTGTGATTGGACCGAGCCCGTTCATTGACAGACTATTGCATCTGACCGACCCACAATCTTGCAACATACTTCTAGCTCATAAATCGAGATAATTTTTGCCAGTCTATTCCAAGTGCTCTCTTGTGCTACATCAACGTGTGCGACCCGAGTCGACCAACGGATTAGTCGGGACATAGCTCTAGAACCGTGGCTGGCTACCAAAAAAAAAATAAGTCACTAACAGCAAAAAGATTGTACAAGAATAGCACAAACAAGCACACACACGCACGGCACAACACAACACATTATTAAGTTTTGACTGAGCCCAAACGCTTTAATTTGCCACACGTTAATTTTTCATTAATCTCTATTTACTTCTTAAAAAATTCATCCCCTGAACCTTCTATCTTCTTCACCACTGTACTGTTTTAACCTGCAATTTTGTTATTTTTTTTTTGCATTTTTCAGCTTCTTTATTAGCTCACTCAAGCATACTCTCTCTCTCTCTCTCTCTCTCTCTCTCTCTTGTTTGATCTAACTGAATTTCTGCAGATTGGTGCCTGTGCCCATCAATTTTTTCTGTTCGAGATCCAGATTTCAGTGTAACAGAACACTTACCCATAACCATTCTCCACAGTTTGTACAAAAAAAGAAGCCGCCTTTACTGCTCTCCGCCATTGACAACGATGGCCTGACCTCGCCAAAATCTCCAAAATCCATTGATTCTCTCCCCCATTTTTACCCAAATCCCACTCATTTTCTCTATCCCACATAATCATGGCCCCAAACACGGTGGTAGTCACCCTCGAGAAGCCGGAAAACATCTCTCTGATAGAGATGGCCGGCGCGCAGGACCCCGATTCGATCTTCCACGAAAGCCAGAAGAAAAAATCCGCGAGCCCGAAATGGTTCGCCCGGGTCCTCCTCCTGAAAGCCCACCGGGTCGTGGCGGGCCTGTTCGCGGTTTTCGGGTCGGTTCGGAAGCGCATTGCGGCTTCGGATCCGGGCGAGGAGGACCCGAGGTACAAAGGGCGGCGGCTTTACGCGTTCATAAAGGCGTTCCTCGCCGTCTCGCTAATCGGGCTGGCGGTGGAGACCTTCGCTTATTTCAGCGATTGGGAATTAGGGTTCGTGAGCCCGTGGGAGGTGAGCGACAATCTGGTGCGGTGGGCGTACGTGGGCTGGCTGGGGTTCAGGGCCGATTACGTGGCGCCGTGTGTGGTTACTTTGTCCAGGTTCTGTATCGTTCTGTTCATGATCCAGTCGCTGGATAGATTTGTGCAGTGTTTGGGCTGTTTCTGGATTAAGTTCAATGGGCTGAGGCCCGTGATTGAGGAGGATGTGCCGGACGATGTGGAAAACGGGTCGGGCTTTCCTATGGTTCTTGTTCAGATCCCTATGTGCAATGAGAAAGAGGTAATTTTGGACTATCTGTTCTGTTAGTTGTTGTTCTTGCTAGTTGGTTTCAAAAGTTTCATAATTTTTCCTATTTTTTGAAGATTTTTTTTAGCTGCTATTGTCAAAAGCAGTATTATGCAGCCTTTAAACTAATAAGAAAGGTTTAGCTATGGATAGTAATTTTTTAAAGCCTTGATTGAGTCTCTATTTATGTGATTATAATAAGTGGATATATTGTAGCTTTTGATCATAAAGATTAGCTATGGATAGTAATTTTTTGAAGCCTTGATTGAGTCTATTTATGTGATTATAATAAGTGGATATATTGTAGCTTTTGATCATAAAGATTAGCTATGGATAGTAATTTTTTCCACTCCTACTTGAGCCTATGGGCCATGCTTCTTAATATTTTTCTCTCTAAAATTCTACTATTTTTTTTTTTTTTTTTCTTCTTGAATTTCCTTTTGTGAAGGTTTATGAGCAATCAATAGCAGCTGCTTGCCAGCTCGATTGGCCAAAGGACCGATTTCTTGTGCAAGTTTTGGATGATTCGGATGATGAGGTTTTGCAGCACTTGATAAGGGATGAAGTAATGTCCTGGAAAGAAAAAGGGGTTAACATAGTCTATAGGCACCGGTTTATCCGAACCGGCTATAAGGCTGGTAACTTGAAATCGGCCATGACCTGTGACTATGTAAAGGACTACGAATTTGTCGCCATTTTAGACGCTGATTTCCAGCCCACACCCGATTTTCTCAAGCTTACGGTACCTCATTTCAAGGTAAATAAATAAATAAACGATCTTGGTTTGGTTTATTCCTGGTCGATTAGTTTAAAAGATTCCACCTTTAGTGAAAAAGGAATTAACATTAGTAAAAATAACATGGTTTTACTGAATTCTATTAAATTTCAGGGGAAGCCCGACTTAGGACTCGTCCAGGCTCGCTGGTCGTTCGTCAACAAGGATGAGAATTTACTCACGAGGCTCCAAAATATCAATCTGTGCTTCCATTTTGAAGTCGAGCAGCAGGTGAACGGCCATTTTCTGAATTTCTTCGGGTTTAACGGGACAGCTGGCGTTTGGCGGATCAAGGCCTTGGAAGATTCCGGAGGATGGCTCGAGAGGACAACAGTCGAGGACATGGATATAGCCGTTCGGGCACATTTGCACGGTTGGAAGTTCGTGTATCTCAATGATGTCGAGGTTCTTTGTGAGTTGCCTGAATCTTATGAAGCGTACAAGAAGCAGCAACATCGTTGGCATTCGGGTCCCATGCAGCTATTCAGATTGTGCTTACCTGCAATACTAACTTCCAAGGTATATATACACATACATATAAGATTATCAAGATATCTCCTTTTATTTTCTTTTGGGCTTTGATTTATTGCTTATATAATAGATATTTACTGAAAAAAACTCGCATCTTTCGTTTCGGCAGATTTCAGCCAGGAAAAAAATTTAAGCCTGGAAAAAAGCAAAATTAATATTACTGTTCTTCATTATGAGTTTCACGTATAAGATATCTTCTTTATTTTCTTTCGGCATGATATCTTCTTTATTTTTTTTCGGGCATTTGATTTCTTACATATACGATAGATATTACTGAAAAAGCTCTCATCTTTCGTAACTTTTCGGCTGATTTCACCTGGAAAAAAGCAAACTTGATATTCCTGTTCTTTCTTATGAGTTTCACATATAAGATATCTCCTTTTATTTTTTTTTGGGCATTTGATTTCTTGCATATAAAATATTTATTACTGACAAAGCTTTCTTCTTTCATAACTTTTCGGAAGATTTCAGCCTTTGGGCATTTGATTTCTTGCATGTAAAATAGATAATTACTGAAAAAAGCTCTAATCTTTCGTAACTTTTCGGCAGATTTCAGTCTGGAAAAAAGCAAACTTGATATTCCTATTCTTTCTCCTGAGGAAACTCATACTCCCCTTCTACTCATTCACACTCTTCTGCATAATCCTCCCACTAACCATGTTCATACCCGAAGCTGAGTTACCTTTATGGGTCATTTGCTACGTCCCGATTTTTATGTCATTTCTCAACATATTACCCTCACCAAGATCCTTCCCGTTCCTAATGCCATACCTATTATTCGAAAACACAATGTCTGTCACGAAATTCAATGCCATGGTCTCGGGCCTTTTCCAGCTCGGGAGCGCTTATGAATGGGTCGTGACCAAGAAAACGGGCAGGGCCTCAGAGTCCGACCTATTGGGCCTTGCAGAAAGAGAGTCGAAAAATCTGAACGAGGAGAAAATTCAGAGGAGACTTTCCGAGTCCGGTTTGGAAATGCTCGGAAAATTAACCGAGCAGAAAGCTCCGGTATTGAAGAAGAATAAGAAGGTAAATAGGATTTACCGAAAAGAGCTAGCGCTCGCCTTCCTTCTGTTAACGGCTGCCGCTAGGAGTTTGCTTTCGGCTCAAGGGATTCACTTTTACTATTTACTGTTTCAAGGGCTGTCATTTTTGGTAATGGGATTGGATTTGATTGGGGAGCAGGTGAGTTAAATAGAGAAATTAAAATTAAATCTCATTATTGGATGGTGATGATAAATTTTTTTCTTTTTTTTTTTTTCATTGAATTTGTATGTGTTTTATGAGTTGTATTGTTGTTACACAGTGGATAAAGAACAGATATGTCACAGTTCTATATATAGCTTATACATAGCAGTGTTTTTTTTCAATTATGGACTGCATTTTTTTTGGCATAGATGAGCAGATGAAAGGGCTCTGGTTGAGTTGAGGGTTAGTGAGAGTGGGTAGATTTTGATTCTTTTGGATGTGTAATTTTTATGAGGACCATTGATGGTTTGAATAAGTTGTATGCTGTATTGGATATATGTGACATTTCCTAAATTGGGAACTTGAATATAGTTATTGCAGGTTTT